TCCATTTAAGAGAATGTATTAATAAAAAACAATGAATCGTGATGTTTAACAAGTTGGAGTAAGCTCATATGAAGGAGGGGAAGTTAAGGTTGGTACAGGGAAAGCTGTTTATTAGAGGGGAGTATGCATATGGAGGGTGAAGTGTTGAAAATATTAATAACTATATCTGTTGTTGTCTGATTTTTTCTTTCTTTTTTCGTTTTTTCGTCCATCCGATGCCAGCCACACAATCCATGTGTAAAAGTCCGAGTTAGCATGTTATAGGTTGTCTTAGTAGAATAGCTAATCCAGTATAAAATTGGAAACATGAGTCTGAGTGGTGAGCGTAGGAAGACAATCTATATCACAGATTGATTGACTTATGCTCAATCTTAGAGAGCCTGATACATACAAAATTTTCTGCCCCACAAACACGGGTGGATTAAAGTCATCGCCCTCACCATCAATGCTTGCTGGTCAGTAACTCCACCCTCCCTCCTTTTGTGATGTTAGGCTCATTTAAGCTTATTCTTGGATATATATCATACCTCACACAATCCTCTGTTTCACAATCTGTTGGAAAACACTATTTCTATAAGTACCATTTTACAACCTTATCAGGCAGTTACAAATTATGAACTGTGGGTAAGGCATCGATGCAGTGCTATAATTGACTATAGTATAAAGTAAAGTTTGCCTATTAAAGTATAAGCATTAAGAGGGATGTAATGTAGGATAGTAGTTTAATAAAGCGGGCGGAAAAGTATAGAAGTATATGGGTTGTAGATAAGGTAACGAGTGGAGAAATAATATTAATTGCTAGTCAACATGGTGTGCAGAAGAGTAAAAAGCAAATAAGCAATAAACAAGGAGAGACTCACACTAACTTGGTGCTGATGATATTTTGTGTTGTCCTAACCAGTTGGTGGGTAACAGGCTCCATAGATGCAGTTCAATCGGTATTAGGCAGTCGATTGCGCGATTCTCTTGACTTTTTAGGGTGGTAGTGAGTGTCTCTTAGCGACCGAGTTTAGTTGAACAGTATCAGTAGGTCCAGTGAGTTACCTGTCTATTTTAAGTGAAGAAATGGAGTAGGAAAATTAACTAAAACAACTGCAAAGTAGGAAAAATTAGGCGAACTGAACTTGGAGTCCATTTTGTTTTAGACATGTAGAGAGCCTACGATATCTGAGTGGGGCGCAGATCTGTTCGTAGGTGTTAGATCAGTGCAAATGAGGGCTTGATCAAGCAGTCTTCTTAATGATTTCTTCCTCCGCTAGGATCTGATTTGTTCTCTCCCACAGTAGGTTGTTGCTTATAGTGTCCGGCCAGCGGATCCGAAGTATTTTGCGTAGACAACTGTTAATAAACACCTGTATCTTTTGGATGATGGATTTCGTAGTTTTCCAGGTTTCCGCGCCATACAGTAGAACTGTCTTCACATTTGTATTGAAAATTCTGACTTTGGTGTTGGTTGCTAATTGTTTTGAGTTCCAGATATTCTTCAGTTGTAGATATGCTGCTCTTGCTTTGCCGATCCGTGCCTTCACATCTGCATCAGATCCACCGTGTTCATCGATGATGCTGCCCAAATATGTAAAGGTTTTTACATCTTCCAAAGCTTCTCCGTCAATTGTGATTGGATTGGTGCATGCTGTGTTGCATCGGAGAATCTTACTTTTCCCTTTGTGTATATTGAGACCTATTGCTGCTGAGGCTGCTGCTACACTGGTTGTCTTCTCCTGCATTTGTTGTTGTGTATGCGATAGAAGAGCCAGATCATCTGCGAAGTCTAGATCATCCAATTGCATCCTAGCTATCCACTGTATCCCGTGCTTCCTTTCAGATGTTGACGTCTTCATGATCCAGTCGATCACCAGGAGAAAGAGAAAGGGTGAGAGTAAGCAACCTTGTCTGACACCGGTCATTACTTCGAACGACTTTGTCAACTGTCCTCCATGCACGATTTTGCAGTTTAATCCATCATAGGAATTCTGTATGATATTGACTATCTTCTGAGGCACGCCGTAGTGTCGAACAAGCTTCCATAGGGTTGTTCTGTCCACGCTATCAAATGCTTTTTCGTAGTCGATGAAGTTGATGTAGAGTGATGAATTCCATTCAATTGATTGTTCCACAATGATCCGTAGAGTTGCGATTTGGTCTGTGCACGATCTATCCTTACGGAATCCTGCCTGTTTGTCTCGAAGTTGGACGTCTACGGAGTCCTTCATCCTGTTTAACAGTACCCTGTTGAAGACTTTTCCTGGTATTGAAAGAAGAGTGATTCCCCTGTAGTTGTCACAGTTGCTGAGATCGCCTTTCTTTGGTATTTTGACCAGAAGTCCTTCTTTCCAGTCTTGGTACCTGTTCCTCATCCCAGATCTTTCTGAAGAGAATGTGGAGTATCCTTGCAGTTGCCGCTACGTCTGCTTTCAGTGCCTCTGCTGGAATGCTGTCTAGTCCTGCTGCTTTGCCACTCTTGATTTGTCTGATAGCCATGCTGATCTCTCCAAATGTTAGTGGGCCAGCATCGATTGGGAGGTCCGTGAGTGCTGCTTCGATGTTGGGTGGGTTCAGCGCGGCTGGTCGATTCAAGAGTTCTTTGAAGTGCTCCACCCACCTGTTTCGTTGTTCTTCAATGTTGGTGATTATCTTGCCTTCTTTGCTTTTCACTGGTCATTCTGGTTTACGGTGATTTCGAGAGAGTTTCTTTGTTGTGTCATACGGTTGTCTCATGTTTCCTTCTCTGGCAGCCTTTTCCGCCGTCATTGCTAAATTTTCCACATTTACGTTTGTCGGTTCTGATGCTCCTCTTTACTTGCTTGTTTACTTCTGTGTATTCAGCCTGTGCCTTGGCTTTTTCTACTCTTGTTCGGCTGGTATTGATTGCTGCCTTCTTGTTCCTCCTTTCTTGAATCTTATCCAGTGTATCGACCGTGATCCAATCCTTGTGATGGTGCTTCTTTTGGCCCAGAACCTCATGACATGTTGAAGTGATTGCCTCTTTTATCTCTTTCCAGTTGCTCTCCATAGTAGTTCCTTCTCCATTGAGTAGATCATGAAAGGCCTGGAACTTATTGATGAGGGTTATCTTGAATTTGTTGAGTTTGTCATTATCCCGACGAAGAGCCGTATTAAACTTTTGTGATATTGCCCCCCCCGTTGTCCAGTGCTTCTTGAGTTTCAATTTCATCTTAGCGACCAGCAAGTGATGATCTGATGCTATATCAGCTCCTCTCTTTGTTCTCACATCCTCCATCGTCCTCCTGAACTTTTTGTTGATGCAGATATCGTCGATTTGGTTTTGCGTAGTGTGATCCGGTGAAGTTCATGTGATTTTGTGTATGTGTTTATGTGGGAATATAGTCCCGCCTATGAACAGTTTATTGAAGGCACATAGATTTGCAAATGTCTCACCATTTTTGTTCCTTTCTCCCAGTCCGTGTCGTCCCATGATCTCTTCATATCCGGTGTAGTTCATTCCAACCTTGGCATTTAGGTCTCCCATTAGAATAGTCAGGTCTTTAGTTGGGCACTTCTCGACGATTGACTGCTGCCTATCGTAGAATTGATCTTTAGCATCTTCATTGTAGTCGTTGGTAGGCGCATAGCATTGGATGACGTTCATTGTAATGCCCTTTTTCTTTGTTTTGAAGGAGGCTTTGATGATCCTTGGTCCATGAGATTACCATGCTACAAGTGCATTTTGTGCTTATTTGGACAGCATCAATGCAACTCCTTGTGTACGTGGGGCATTTTCTTGTTCATGTCCGAAGTATAACAGCAGCTCCCCTGAAGCTAGTCGTTGTTGTCCAACTTGCGTCCAATGTGTTTCACTGATCCCAAGCACCTCTATGTTGTATCTTCTCATTTCTGCAGCAAGTTGGAAAACTCTCCTAGTCTCCCACATTGTAAGAGCATTCCATACCCCGTCATAGAAATGATTATTAAATAAATAGACAAGAAGCAGATGTAAAGAATAAATATTCTTAACCGCCCCGTTTACTCTGCCCGGTTTCTGACTCGTAGCTTAGATTTATCATATTTACACATATTATTATTTTATTATTATTATCATTATTAGTAGCATTATTATTATAACACATGCTGACGTTTTTAAGAAAGTTATTCAGCATCATTCCTTACATGCTAGTTCGTACCCAGTTCTTGCTATTTTACATATTGCGTGATTTTTAATTGCATTATCATCTTCTCACTCCATGTTTACCATATTTATTCCGGTCATTTATTTCACAACTACGTTTGACATATAAAACTATTCAGGATAACCCTTCATATTAGTCACCCAACATTATTTATTTTATTTTGTATTGCAAACATAAAAAATTCACATCCTAATTTGAAGTGGTGACCTCTGTCATAGATCTGGCCAAGTAGTTTTGATTATTAATCCTGAAATATGATTGTTGTACCTGGACGGAAATTATTGAAAAGTATATTTATTCGTTCATCTATCTACATTTCGGGTTTACTGATGGTAGTGTTGTAGAGGCTGATAAATCCCAAAAATAAATAGTTCTGTAAGTCTTCGACACTTGATGCTGACCGCATTAGTTTGACTGGACACACCTAGCTGAAGTTTCTCCATCATGCATCTGCATCAGATCACGTGTGGTTACTCCATGCTACGCATCTTTTCCGACTACCAGCCAGTTTGGACTAAACGTTCCTCGATATACCGATAGCCCTCCAAATATATCTGCGGACTATTTCATTTTTGATTTGATCTGGTTGGCATACATCGAATAAAAATGTCACGAGTAAGTGCGTTGTAAAACTCCGAGAACATGTGGCAGTTTACTCATATTTTTAAATAAGTTGACACTATCTAGTCAATTTTTATGGAGTTTTCTTCAAGTATTCGGACTCATGAAACTTATCTGTTCTCAGTTTAGCTCGAAACTATTCAGAACTTTTCCGTGTGACAAATATTGGGGATCGAATGCGGATAATTTGAAACGGGCGGTTTCGCGGCACTATAGTATTGTTTCGACCTAATGAGTGAGGTTCGACGGAGGAAGCCTGCAACCTTACAAGATGGCGATTCATCGGCTCAACAGTGTTTAAAACATGCACATAGCGAACACTCGGAAGACCTTATCTCAGATAAATTCACTGATCGTCCATACAGCCTGTTTTGGTTATTCCCTGCGACAGCTGTTTTCCTAGCTTGCTTCATTATTTGTGACGACAATAGTGATTGTTTGCCTTGTCCTGATTCCTCATACAGTTCTTTTAACGTGGCCTCTGCTAGATCACATCTTATCAAGGTCACCAACTTCGGTCCCCGAACTGCCGGGTCCTTGGCTAATGAAGTTGCTGCTGCTGACTATCTTCGGAATGAATTAAAGTTAATTGCGTCTGTTTCTAACAAAACGGGGTTGGTCGTTTCGCTAGACGAACATAAGTCTGGCTACTCGAGTTTCCGGGCGTTTTCTCATGTTTCTTCATACAATAATGTTCGGAACTTTGCTCTTCGTTTCCATGATCTGCGTGCCAAAGGTGGTAACCATAGCAAATTAGCATTCCTCATTAATTGTCATTACGACACGGCCCCTGGGAGTCCTGGTGCTAGTGATGCGTTTGTTAATTGCGCTGTCATGTTAGAAGTTTGTCGTATATTGGCGACTGGTTCGTCTATTCTTTTTAATGATCTTATATTTCTTTTCAACGGAGCCGAGGAAAGTCTGTTACTTAGCAGTCATGCTTTTATAACGCAACACAAGTGGGCCACTGACATCGTCGCTTTTATGAATTTAGAAGGGGCAGGTGCTGCTAAACGTCTTTTGCTTTTTCAAACTGGTCCTGGTCCGTCATCAGATGTCTTACTTGAAGCCTATGCAAGTGCTTTCAAACAACCATTCGCCAGTGTTTTGGGGGAAGACGTGTTCCAGTTCGGACTAGTGCCATCGGACACAGACTACAGAATATTTCGTGACTATGGGCTTGTCCCAGGGTTAGATCTTGCATATATACAAGACGGGTACGTTTATCACACTCCCTATGATACAGCATCTCGTATTTCAGATTGTTGTCTTCAACTGTCGGGATACAATGTATTGAGTTTCGTCCAGTTGGTTGCCAAAGATGAAAGAATACAAGGTTTCACCAAACTGACTCCGATAAATTATACATCCGAAACATTGACGAGTGCTTCAGGCTCAGGTTCACCGTCGGATATAAATAGTGTCCCTCCACTAGTCACTAGATCGGCAACTGTTCGACACGTTTATTTTGATTTGTATGGCGCCTTCGTGATAATTGTTCCATGGGGAGTCTGGAAAACTGTAAACCATCTATTGTGTTTATTTCTGTGCTTCCTGATATTTAGAACTAGACGACTTGTCTATGTCCGGTGGTATAGACTCGTTGCTGCTTTATTGGTACAAGTAATTACCACATTACTAGGCTTCGCCTTTTCAGTTATACTTGGACTTATGTATCACCATTACGGTTGCAGAATGGTTTGGTATTCAAATCACTATAATATTGTAGGTATGTTTATTCTACCAGTTGTCTGGTGGTTTGTATGGTCTCAGGCTTACTTACTCAAAATACCCGAAGGTTCTGTATTTAAGTTTCTTGGGGTTTCTAATTGCTTTTCAAGGATATGGCAGCATAATACTTTGGATTACTTCTATTCTTTAGAAACCGACTTTTTTGATTCTAGTGTATTTTTAATAGCACTTCAGTCATTTTTGTTGTCTTTAATTAATGCTCCTTCATCATACGTTTATACATTCTGGGTTGCATTTGGGCTTATATTTAAGATGTCTGACATCCGAAATGCCTCACCGATCAAACTAAAATTTTGTCAGACCGTTCGTTTTATTTCATTTTTAGCCGTTATTTCAATACATACTTATAACCTTAATTTATTTCTTAACTTTATGATACCGATTATGGGGCGTTCGGGTCATGTCATCAAACCAGATTTATTCCTTTCTTGTTGTATATTTGTTATCATGCTACCTGTGATGCTTCCATCCCTAGGACGGCTACAATGCACTTCAAGAACTGGAAGTAAATATCTTTTCTTGATGTTGCTAAATGCTTGCTTGTCGTATACAATCCTCGTTCATACATCAAATTATGGCTTCCCGTATAGTGTCCAGCCAACTCCAAATTTTTCAAACCCTCTTGTCAGCCCAAGGTATCAACGCCTAGTTGTTTTTCATACCAACAGATTTCTTCGGCATATTCCGGATTCTCCTGAGATCACAGAGAAAGAAAGTCATATCCTAATTGCCCCCATTGATGCCAATGGCATTCGATATCTGACACCTAATTCTTACCCTATGTCCGTACTTAGGTTATTTATAAATTCAAAAGAGCATACTCAATCAAACTTCAAAGGTATCAAAGAGCTTGTTGGAGCAGAACCCACGGGGTGCAATTACAGTCAACCTTATTGTGGTGTAGCCTCTATTTATCCTTTTCTTCATATCTTCAGATATTTTTATCGTGTTCCTGCTGAATTTCACAAAATAGAACCAACTGTGAAGCTAAAGTTACTGTCACGCACATTGTTAATGGATTATTTACCAAATGGTCGCTTGAGTTGGAACGTTACATTTTCGGTAGTTTCCGGTCCTCCCCATACTCATATCTTAATTCGTACAGATGGGAATTATACTAAATTAACTGCATGGTCGTTTGCATCAACTGCAATGTATCCTTCATCTATGCCACTCCCTCGTCCATTAATTAGCGACAGTCCAAGCAACAAAGGTGAACATTATTTTTTATACCATTTGAATGCAGCAGCATTTGGTGAACATGGGGTCTTATGGGAAACACCATGGACATTTTGGGTTGTTTTCGAAGCCCAGGAAGTACTACCACAATCAAGTTATATTGATGTAGCTATTGCTGGCCTGTATACTGATGAAGATATCTCTACTCGCTCTCCTCCACTCTCAGACTTTTTGTCAAGATTACCACCTTGGGTTACTGTCATTCGGGGTTGTGCTGTTTATGATCATTGGCGCTTTCAGCTGAACTAGTATGAGTCGTGTAAAAATCTAACTATTGTATTTACTGTATTTCATGTCATGTACAAACTCCAGATGTATTACATGGTACAAAATGATTTTTTATACTTTCTAAACAGTTTGAACTACCTAACTTAGTTCTGTACTTCTTTAGTTCACAAATATACTAGTTAAAACTTTACTGAACTTTTCACTCCTCCTTTAGAGGGAAAATTTGTTAACCACTTTATTTTCCTTTAGCTTTCAAGATGCCTCACACAATATTACTTGTACAGCCTTCTGTCAAAAAACCAGATACTCGCACATGGTCGGATTATGAAACTGTAGAGCAATGTTTGGAGGGTGTATGCAAGATATATGAAGAGCAGCTAAAACGTGAAAAACCTAATGCTCCTACTATCACTTATGATATATCCCAACTTTTCCAGTTCATCGATCAGCTGGCTGACCTTAGTTGTTTAGTTTTTCATGAATCTACATACACTTATGTTCCTCATCATAAAAACTGGATCAAAGAACAAGTTTATGTACTCCTTAGAAACCAAGCTGGCCAGTAATTAACAATTAATGGGCGTCTGTGCAACAATTTTTGCTTGAATTGTAACATCTAACTGAAATACATGTTTTAACTGCCCATTTTTATTTTTTCTGGGGCTTGTGATTGTTAGTGGTAAAATTAACTATTCATTCTATTTTTTAGTATGACTTATTTAGAATACTGGTTCATTTTACTGTTAGGAGTTAGTGTTAGGCTCAACTACATTCTGCGTGCTTGGATTGAACCATAAACCATGAATGTAGCTTGACTGTTTAGTTGTTAGCATTCTTTTCTGGTTGGAATTGTCTGGAAATTTTCTAAGACACTTACTTACGCCCGTTACTCCTCGTGAAGGAGCATAGGCCGCTCACCAGCGTTCTCGATCCAACCCTGTCCTGGACAATCCTTTCCAGCTCTTTCCAGTTGTTATTCATCCTTTTCATATCTGCTAAGACGCTGACCTTGTTTATTTGAGAATTATACGTATCAAATCCTTTCTACCGTCTTATTTTCTCGGTTTCAGCTTACTAGTTGTCGTTTGCTTTGTTCGCTTTTTCTTCACCGCTCAAGTTGTTGCAGTATATCCACCGATCTCTGTCTATAACGTGACGAAAGTTTCCAAATCTAAGTTGGATTGCATGGCTCAAAATCGTTTGTGTTGGCACGGATGCACTCACTCTTTATCTTGCCTCAGATTCTAAGCTTCTGAATTCCTCGTAATTTTCTGTTTCACTAATCTACACTTTCTTGAATCTTATTTTCGATGCCTAAACTTTTGTATTTTCATCTAGAATGACTATCTTTAGTCTTCCAGTATATCATCTGAATTCTTAAAACAGTTAAAATCAGAGCGGGAGACCATAGTTTCTAAGGAATGACATCAATGGTGCACATGGGCTCCAGTATCATGCGGGAACAAATGGCGTATGAACCAATCGTTGGTCACCGGCTACCATGGGACTGCATCTCCTCACGATGCTCCACTGCCTTGTGGGTCAGACGTTCAGGTCAAAGGCTCGGGGTGTGGCCCCCTAAGACAACCACCTGCTTCGGTTTGGGCACCCGGGCAGTATCACAGCCCTCACACAAATCAATTGAGCTTTGTGTGGCGCATATGTATTTTGGTGCCTCCCTGTACCTATACTTATGTGTTAAAATAAATAAATAATAATAAAGGAATGACATAGATTTTGTTGTATAAAGTAAATTCTCAACAACAATAACGAAGGATATTTACTTGGCTTACTTCAAACGACATCACTTGTTTGCCAGACAAGATCGAGGATACTGCGCAGAAGTCTTTTGTATATTGCTCTGCGACTACACAGTATGTCCTTTGTAAGAATTGCTTTTTTTGATCCTACTAGTCTGGGAAACATTGCTTGGGCACAAGAAAACCACCAAACAAGCGATGTTAGGCATATCAACAGGTAAGGGTATTAAGTCTCTTGTTTAGACTGTTAGCCACAATTTATTGCTCATTCCCAGCCATCTGTTACATCAGCGTGCTATTCTTGCTATTATAATAGTGATTTAAAGATAGACTGGTAATGACTAGCCCAAGATATGATATTGATGTATGTAATCAGTGGCTGCTAATTTTAGATCTTTATATTAGCATAAACGTTGTCGGTACCTATGATTAAGCCATAAAATATACTTTGAGACTGATAATAGCGTAAGATTGTTCGCATTGATGCATTCATTCGTCATGTCTTAAAGTATTGAATATGGTATTGTTCTACACGTTATGCTTCTCAACTTCAGTGTAAAAATTACTTCTTTTGGCCGATTAGAATAGTACAGGATATGAATCTCTAGTTTATCATCCTAAGTTGATACACTAAAACTAATGGAAGCAAACAATTACTAAAAGAAAGAATAATAGATCAAATAATAAAAATAAGTCGTGTTGAAAAATAGGCTTAGAGTGATATGATGTTCCTTATGTGATGGATTTCTAGTGTGTTTTAACTGTTTGTTTAGTGAATTCACAGCAATTTTGTTGCAATCAGCTCATCGAACTCGGACGTTAATCACTAAACCTACAGTTCATTCAGACAGTTTAATTTTTGTTGATTCGCGACGAGTTTGAATTAAGATCTTAGATATTCAAAATTTATTATGCGAAGGTACTTACAAGCCAGATGTTTGTTTTACCTGTTTCAGTCGGTTTGAGACTAACAATCCTTTTTCCACGTCCTCATTTCCCAGTTGAAATACATCTAGGGTATGGAGATCGCGTTCAGCAGTCCCATAACATGTAATCGTTCGTATTGACCACTCGATACCCTTTTATATTTATATATATGGTGCAAACTCATTACCATGTATGATATCATAACAACATGTATCTTTCTGCTCTATGAGAACTCGATCGTGCCCTTTATATTCTCTATATGATTTTGTTGGTAACCAGCTTATCATAGGTTTAAGTAACCGAAGATTTTGTGCGAAATCGTGTTTGGTCCATGTGATAGTCGCTCTTAATAGGGTTAGATCATAATGTCACCTACACTTAAATATCATCTTGTAGTTGGCTTTTTCAACTTCATCAAGGTTCTTGAATCCCCAAACTGAGTGTTGCTTTCATATAATGATGCGGAGGTTGTTTTGGAGAACAATTGATTTCTATAAGGAAGATGTACAAATCCTAACTAAGCGTCCAAGAGTTGTGTATGATGTACTCTTCATATTCAACTTCTAGAAAAAATGAATTACTTTACTAAATCCTCTTTTTTACCAGGTACCATAGCTAAATTGAATTATCATTCGGATGTTCAATGAGTTTGTTCAACAGTCGTCTGTATCCGATGGTGATTGGGAGGTTCATGATCCCTTTAAAAGTATGTCACTAAAATACGTTAATATATTTATAGCCACAAACTCTTTACATTGATTCATTTTAGACTTAAGGGGGAATGAAATATGCATAAAAAGAGAGTACTTACTATGGGTTTATATCGTTTAAATAATTACCTTAAACAATTAAGATCCATTATAGTTAAATGTTTCAGCAGTTCGTATTATGGGTCTCGTGTTAAATCTAACCAAATAATCATACTTAAAATGTACACAAGCAGCCAGAATTAACATTTAAGGACGACTTCATATATCGGTGAACAGTTTCTGGTATACCTAAACACACATTGTTGAACTTCAATGCTATTTTCATAGTGTTCCCATGGGGCCAGGAACGACAGACACGAACACTTAACAATTTTAGCTAGGAGGAACCAGGTTATACCGGATGAGTTCAAAGCAGGTCACCCCATAATGTTGTAGGCTAAATTTTTTACTACAAGACTGAAGTTTAGTTTCATTTCTGTCTCTTTAGTTTTGGTTATACAGAGATTAATCTTTTTTATTTATTTGAACACATAAATATTGGTACAAGGGGGAACCAGATATATATGTACCACATGAGAGATTAATCTTATCTGTAGCATAAATACTCATTAACTTTTTGATTATTTCAAACGCTTTATAACTTGGCCATCATCACTGGAAAATCTCGCAAAGTGTACTTCACTGTTTGATGATATTAACCTTTAATTTATTGGCCGAAACATCTACTTTAAAATGGAAACTAGAGCAAAGCGGTTATCTGAATTAGCTGACAGAACAGCATCTGTGTCCCCCGTTATTTTACTGAAGTAAAATCTATTTCTTATAATCTGACAAATTATGATTGTTCGTCATACCCGTGTTAGTGGCCTGCTACATCAAATTTTAATGGAAGATTTTCATTAAATATTGCTACTCACATATGGTGTATTCAGTTCACTAGGCTCATGTGAACTAGGATTGCAAAAAAATCTATAAATACTTTTATAAATTCGAACTTGACTTGCTCCTGATAAGGTGTTTGAAAAGTCAACCAACTTTAGGTCCTTGTTTTTGAAGATCTGATGAAGACAAGCTTACTAGATATAATTGCAACTAACTGTTACATAGTTGCGAGAACTCTCCGCCACTAACGAGAGCTCCTAAAAGTTGCTATTAATCAATTACTTAAAAAGTAAACTAATAAAATCCACATAAAATTTGGTGAAATGAAACAACTGGAATTCTATTTAGGTGCTCAGTTCATAATTTTAAGTTTAACAGTTAGGATATAATTATCTACACAGAAAATTAGTCGACTAATATCAAGATAGGACATATTAGTTAATGGTTATCAAAAGACATACATTTTCAAATAACTTGATAACATGAATTTTATGTATGGATAGAGTTATTCCCAACTGTTCATATCTATGTAGTATTTTCTACTGCAGTTCAAAGTAAAGCATATTGACCTATACTTCTACCTATTTTCAAATGTAGACTTCAAATTTACTCGATATTTGAAGGAAGAGGTTGTTCAGTCGATAAGAAAAAAGCAATATGAAGATGGTACGAGCAAATGTGGTCCATTTACCAATCGTGCGTATACATTCGTCACAATTCCTCGATATTTAGAATCGGTAGTTTACCTAAGATGGATAATTTTTCACTAATTCCCATTTTTATAATAAAGCTTTATTATTGTATGAAATATAATTGTTAACACCGCTGTTGTTTCTAAGCCTCTCATTTTATTGATTTCCTCCCTTTATGTTGATATAAAGTATGACCATATGATCCAGTCCGCGTTTGTTTTAGGCCTTTCATTTTTTTAAGACCGACCGTAGAAAACTTTGTTTATAACCTCAATGGTTAGAAAAACGATCTTAAGCACGTGCAATTATGTGTACTTTTCACTTTTCAAGTTTGTAAAAATGGAGATCATGGATGTTAAACACTAATACACTAATCTACAAAATGTATCTGTTGGAAATACAGGAAACAGAAATATTTAATAAACCTGAGATTGTTTTTCTAATTATCAAAGCTATAAGTAATCAAAACACAGCAGAACGTGACACAGTTTTGTACCGTTTTATGTCGTCACACTTTAACAAGAGGAAGTTAACTTTGGAAAAATTTTTCAACAGTTTGTTAAAATAACACCGTACACATTTCGACTATTTTTCTTGGCATAGCGATCAATATCATGTGTGTCAGGTCATTCTTAGTGCAAATTAAATTATATAGACCAAGGCTCAATAATGCCACTAGTCTAGGTGACTCGACATAGCGTGCACTATGTTGAGATGAGATGTTGGTTGGATGTGGTCTACAGGAAACCCCGAACCTACGTTCCGTGCTATTCTGTCCAGGGTTTCCTGTCGATTACATCCAACCACCATCTCATCTCAACATAGTGCACGCTATGTCGAGTCACCTAGACTAGTGGCTACATTGCAACTTGGTTTATATAATTTAATTTGCACTAAGAATGACCTGACGCACAAGACATTGATCACCCCAGTGATCAATCAATTGTAAATACATCTCAGTCCAACAGGAGGTCAGTCGCGACCCGGATCGCCCAGTAGTAACGTTTCTGACTGTAAAGCTGGGTGACACGGGGTCAAATCGATCAGATAGCATCGGTTCCCTCAAGATTACAGGTACACCCTGCTGATGAGTGTCAAATAGCACGAAACCTAGGCCCAAGGATTCCTGTCGACCACCTCCAACCACCACATATATTTAATTGTATTTTACTAGTTTTAATGATATACATCAATGAAGAGTTCGTAAAGCGTAAGATGATAGCATTTTTTTTCATTAAAAGATTTATTTTTAATGTAGTAATTTATAAAAGACTTGTTTTTCCTTTCTTACCACAACTCGTCTATCAGAAATGCCTGCATAATTGCATAGTCTACATTATTGCTTGTTAATTTCAGAAGTTTGTTTTCTAAGACATTGAAATCAGCAATCATGAAATACCATCATATATATTTAGTAAATTACCATTTTGTTCAGAATTAATACCGTATATAGTCTACGAATTGTGACTATACTCGTAACCTTATCTTGATTCTATGCTAATAATAATAATAATAATAATAATAATAATAATAATAATAATAATAATAATAATAATAATAATTTTTGTTTTCCTGACTTCATTTACTCGACTTGAATTCATCAGCACAGTTAACGGTATAAACCATAAAAATAGTTTTGAGAATTCTGTACCCGGATTTGTTAGTTCTTGAACAAGATGATCATAATAGAGTCACTTAAAATATAAGGTATTCGTCTTAACCTTGATTTTGATTGATATGAAAGTTTTATTATTCAAGGTTGAGTTCTCATGGACAGTAGTTTTGATACCAATCTGGTCATCCTCTTTATGAAGCCCACTGTAAGTTTATGAAACTGTTAAAAAAACATTACCGTTGATTTTAGTATAACAACGGAATGTTAAGAGAGTTTCGAATATATTTACAAAGTAAACTTGTGGTGATACGTGCTACTGACTCTAGAAATCTAAAGTTTAAATATGAATATAGAGCTACTGATTTTATACTTAGAGAGGCTTATTCACGAATATAATTTGGGAAGTTTGAACCGCGCACGTGCAAATCTTAACAGATTATGAAGCATTCCCTGTTAGTAATAAGTAAAAGTCAGTGCATATCACATCTTTGAAGTCTTAATTTAGGGTACTGTTAGATTATAGGTTTATTTACTTTATTTGAAGACGATGATTAGCCACCTCGATCCCATACTAAATAAAACAGCCACCAAACTAAATTGTGATTCGAATACTATAATATCTTTAAACATTGGGAGAATTCATTCTTAAGCACTTTAATCCGGCAAATATACCCCACACTCATCTCTGATTGGAGGTATCGTTGTATGAAGTATATTCTCATGCTTCACTGAATTGCAAGTAGATTTTTCTTTTTTCTGTTATATGAATGTTTGATCCTTCAAGGCAGTCTTGATTGATTTGTCATAGTTCAACAGTTTTAGTTTTATTTAGTTCTATTTCCTGGGAAAACAAAATGTTTTTGGAAATAGCCAACATTTTTACAAACTACTTGCATCCATGGTTTGTTGATATTCTCTAAGTGTTAGTTATACAATGCTCCAATATATTCTATCTTACATTTTATTTTGTCCAAATTTTTTGTTACACTTTTCCTTTGTGACATCCGTAATTGTGGTAGGTAAAATAAGAAAAATGGAAAACCGGAAGTTATTGTTTAACACGTTAGCTTGTGTATCTTCGGTGGATATTTGTTAGTCAGATGTTTTATATCTTTTTTATGTAGTCTTAATTTTCAGTTCTTTTCATTGTTACTTATTGTGATATCGCTTGCCGGTTAAAAATAACGGTGAACCATAAACAGGCTATTGATTTTTTTGATAGCATAATACCTTACTCGTTTGCCTACTACGAATGATGCGTTATGATCTTCTTAGTATACTTCTGTAGTCACGTCATGGAAACGTTTGTAGGTGACGTTTAAGCCATTTGACAGTGGGTAGTTCACCATAATATCACCAACTGACTTATCGTCACTATATCTAAACACATACCCAGACCTTGCAAATACTTGCACTCTGTTGCTACCGAATTCGAAGGCAAGGTTAACCGAACACAAAGAGTCGTCAAACATCCTGAATCTGGTAAAGAATTTAATGGTAACCTGTTAGAGATTTATATAATGGACCTTTTGTAAGCATTTTAACGTAGCAAAGTCTCCAAAGATGGTTCAGATTAACATAAAGATCTCTGCATTTGTTTTTTTACATAGAATGATTTCAAGTTGATCAGTTTATTATGTTTTGTTTTTAATAGTATACACTGGTGTTTTTGGTGTGATCATACGTCGATGTTTTGTATAATTTTTCACTGCCTTCATTTAGTTTATGGCTTATGGGATGTTGCAATGTTTGGATCATTTACTGGTTATTTATACATTTCTTCCATTACGTTGTTTCCTCGCTGTACTAAATTTAATGCTAAGAATATCCAGTGGAATATTTCGATTTTTCACATATTTTAATCTATACCAGTAAGTTTCTCCTATTTGGACCTGAAATACATTTATATTAAAGGTGATTTTTTGTATACACCGATGATTGATGTACATTGGTTGAAGTATTTAGTTTTATAACGAGTTTCAAGTTCATGGTTTTTTTATATATATTTTACACTACATCATCGGAGGTACGTTATAAAAGTTTCATGTCGATTTTTGTATTGTCTTTTTGTATGTATGGATTAATGTTCTAGAAACCACTAGTAGTTAACGTTAATCGTATATCAGTTCAGATTTCACACCTCACACCAGCTCAGAGAGAGAAAATTAATGAAATGTTCTGGCAAAAAACAAGTTGAAACTATTCTGTAGATAACTACCTGTTTATATGTGTTTGTTTTGCCCAATCAACAGAACTGTGTAATTATCCCATTTCGCCTTTTAGAACGATAATACTTCATTTCTCCATATCTGATAGTTAGTAACTTTCAGTCATGTATGTATAAATTTAAACCGGTATTAGCTTTATTAGTGTAAGCCCGTATAATCTGTATAGTATTAATATTTGTAATATGGAATTCGAGTTTATCAAGCCACTGTTAGTCAAAACCAATATGTATGTTATCCCTATTGATGTTGTAATTCAAAAGTAGTGAAATATTGGTGAATATGACGTATTTTGTGAAGTTAAAGAGTCGTGTTATTTTATATAGAAACTTAAAAAAAGATACGTAAGGATTTAAAGAAAAATTTCAGAACTCTTAGTGAAATTTCAATATCACCGTACTTATTGCGAATCTATCTAAGCTTTAAATATTCGATAGAGAAAAAAAGGTAATTTAGTGAAGAGAATTTTCTTTTTTGATTATACCATTTGATAAGGCTGTATGATTGGCTTTCTAGTAATTTGATAAATATCTGGGTTTATAGAAGGATTAAAAGTGATTACGTCATAATGTTTAGAGAAAAATGATATCCTTGGAAAGATGATTCTCTTTGCTAATTTATCTTTATTTTTTACTCAATAACAATTAGTTTCTTTAAATATTCGTCAAATTTTAGTCGACATAAATAGTTGTGTTAATACGGTAATAAGTTATATAAAATAAACTTTAAAAATGTTTAAGTTTTAAGACTTCTCATGTCCGGATTAATGATGAACATGATACGATAAACAAATATACTTTTTCAAAAGCAGAAGATCATTTAATATGAATTTTGAGTTTGACAGAGTATTCTGTGTGATTAACACCTGGTTGAGTAGTTCTAGATCCTGGTATTTTTAGCCGAAGTTAATCTTATGTAGCGTTCTCGGTATCTAAGACACTTCTTACATAAAGGATAATCTATTATATTCATATACTGTTCAAATAAATTGAGCTTCGGGTAGAGAGTGAATAATAAATATCTTTTTTTATATCCCAATCAGTAGAAAATTGGGCTTGTGTTAATTATGTTATTTATTTACTCTGAGTAGGTGGCTTACATAAAGTCACAAAACGCCAGAAATTCAATTTTCTACTGATTATGATAAAACAAGAAATATTTATTATATTCTGTTTACACACAATAGTCTGTCATTTAAATGCAGATAGGTGATATGTCAGTGTTTGCAAATCCAAATGAGACTGTAGCAACACTCGCCTGCAAGATTTATCCTTAATTTTAGTTTTTCTCGGCATTTTACCATTTATGTACGACCTTGAGCATATGTGCATAGTAATACGTATATGTCTATATGTTTACTTGTATCTGTAATGCATATAGATGTTGAGTTACGTCTTAACTAGAGTAGGTCGAGAAGCCTGTCCCCATACTGCACCTATTACTATCTGTCTATGCAAATGAATGCCTAAAACAAACTCTTCCAACTCAGTCAGTATTTGGCTTTTATTACCACCGTTACCCAACGGGGTTGACCTCATTATTATATAGGGAATTAAATGGGAGATTTATATTTCTTGGTTTATTCACCGCCATTCTTAATGAAGTCAAATTGCGGACACACATAAACATTTGTACAAAGGGTCACCAAAATATGTGTAAAATTGTTATTTACAGTTTAGTTTGAAGAAATGCACATACAAGTACATACATCTCACTGTGCTTATGCTGTAAACTGATTGTTCAAACAGCAGAAAAGTAAAGCAAACACGCGAACTGATATACCATACTTGTTCGTTATTCAATGCTCATGATGTTAAACACCATAAATTTATTACGGAAGAACAGTGAATTACGCTTTCTATCTGGGATTTTCTTAGACGGGTTGGATAGCGTGAGACGTTGATAAATGTCTCCTGCACCAATTAAATATGTTTGTACAAAGGCAGTCAATATCCTCGCGTTTTTGACTTTTGTTCACCATCTTTAACCACCACCAAGCCTAGTTCCTTACAATTCCTGTTTGTCCCTGAAAAGTAAATTAATACTTCCGATCAACTAACTCATTTTAAACATACTCCTGTTACCCTTCGTGGAGGAGCATAAGCTGCCCACCAGCGTTCTCCATCGAACTCTATCCTGGATAATCCTTTCTAGTTGCAATTCCTTCTTTTGATGTCTGCTTCCGATTCCCAGCGCAGTGTGGCCTTCTTTTCCGCTTCCCTTCAGGATTTCAAGTTAGCGCTTACTTGGTGATACAGCTTGACGATTTTCACAACGTATGTCCTATCCAATTGCAACGTTTTTTACCAATTTCCTCTTCATATGGAAGCCTTTGGCTCCTGTTCCGAGCCATGTCCAATAACGTCTCAAGCCACTGAATCACTTTATCTCTGGGATCTCCCAAACTAAGGAGTCTTGATGGACCGATAGATGCCAGTCCTGGAAAACTTTAATCCATGCTACTACACTGTCATAAACTGGTCACCTCTTCGCTCCCTCCACTGCGTCGCAGCGTCGACAAATAGTGCCCGGCGTGGAGGTCACTGTAATAACGTTCGTAAGATATTCCCAAGTCATAGAGTCCGGTGTTCAAAGGTGGCTACACCAACTAATTTGTCGTCACTACACCCGAAAATTCACTGCTAAACCTCAGAATTACTAATATGGTGTTGTCACTTGATGTCGGAAATTCTTTGGAAACAACGATGATCGGACATAAAAGATAGCCAAATATCTCTACCCAGATTTCACATGCACGTTGTAGGACTGTCCTCACTGACTTTTTGTAGACCTGAATTTGTACAACTAGACTAGCGTAACTACGGTGTCAAAGATGGAAGTGACTTCGTGGTTAGATCACTCGACTTTCAACCACTAGGTTACAGGCTGGAATCCCGCTCCACCTATTTTAATTTGAGCGACCAAATTGTATCATTATTCCTCACATGTAAAAGGTGTCTCAAAGTAGAGCATACAAGTCTGTACTTAATAGCTGGGTTACATTGTGATTTTTCGACTCTACGAAAAGATTACACTTATGCACAATAAATCTCAAACTTTTTCAAAGTCAGTTTGCTACTAATATTGTTATTTCTATTGTGTCTTGCTTTCGTTTATGTAGTTTTTAAATAGTATTGTTTTTCTCATCTACACTAGTTGATAAATTTAAAAATATCGTAGTGATTATACAATGAATTTAACTTAATTATTAGCTTTGATTCGTTTTCTTTCTTTAGTGATACACCTTCATCGAAGACTTCACGGTTAACTTTACTGTATAATTATGAATTACGTGATCTGATCAAATTTTCTTTATTGTGTATATGTACTGTTATTTTAACAAAATATGACAGTTCCATGGCTTATCATGAAATAAGAACACAATCAGTGATAAAAATTTATATTTTTTTCAATCTACTCGAGGTGAGCGTATTCTGTGTATATTTTGAAATTTAATTTTAATCTCAATGTAATATTTTCATTCATAGCGTTAAGAGATTAAATTTTCATTGTGATTAGTGTGGCTTTATGCGAAGCATTTGTTATGTTCTGTAGTCGTCTGAGCTTGTTATTGATATTATAGTCTTCTTATACACGAACCCAATTAACTACGTGGGTGAAAAAAAGGTGATTGTTAGCTAAAACGGGTCAGAAATATATACACAACTCATTCCCAAATATAGGTAAATTTCCCCCAGAAAATTAGTTCATATTTTCAGCCAATAGTGCTTGTCTTTTTCCTCAAAAAGTTCTGCTGAATATTGACCAACTGAGTCTATCCTTTAGTATATCTCATCTATCTAATTAGGTCAGTGTATCATCGTTTCTATCTGAGAAACCAATTGGACTCTGGATTCAGTTACATGAATCGAGATAAGGAGGGGTTACATCAGTATCATTATAAAAACTAGTTTTCTATTGGTTGTTTTGTGTGTTTATAATTATAAGTCTCTCTTTCTCTATCCGTTTGGTTGTCCATGTTGACATGTGGTTATGATTTTAAGTCAAGTCAGAAATGATAATCGACTAGATGTGTACTTTTATTTATTATTCCCCTAACCTATCTCTAACACTAATAGAAGCGTAGTATTATCCAAGTTGTGTTGGATCTGGTTAGATCGTTTCAACTGCTTCTGTACACTTATTCACCCAACTTATCAAGCACACAAATCTATACCTTAATAAAGAAGAGTTTGATATTTTTTGGTTTGACAGAGTTCACAAAACATTTATCCTACTTTTAAGAAGCTGATCTTGTTATAGATTTGACATATATAATATTCAACATCGCAGTTACAAAGGTTACAGACAAGCTTATTGGGACGGCCTAGGATCAGATAATGTGACATTTAAAAAATCCTATAATGGTTAATTAATTAATTTAGGGAATAGTCAACATTTATACCGGTTTATTATTTTTGTAGTTATTCATGGGACTTTATCTTCTTGTTTTAGGTCGCAGATCGTTTATTATCTGCTGTTTGTCAAGATGCCTTGGATGATTTACTATTTACGATTAGTAAACCACGATCTGATTCAGTTTTATCTAATGATCTAGAAGAAAATAGTTTCATTTTCTGGCGTGATATTGTTTTACAGTACTGCTTTGCTTTCTTTTGTCTCAGTCAGTGCAAATGCTTATTATATGTATTTGATTTTTACCGTATGGTATTTACTACATGCTCATGGTAAATGTATTAAAATAGTGAATTAAATGAACCATTGAAAAGAGAATAAGACATGTAATGTGTGAATCAGATAATGGAGTTCCAAATATCTTCATTGTAAATAAAAGTATCTTTATGCCAAGTCAATCAGAAATTTTATATTAGAAATAGACTCTAGTAGGGCGAGGTACACTCGCCAATTGTTTCTCTCCCGGTTTATTTGACTTTTACAGATTAAGAGACCTTTCATTAATGTATTGGAGCTTCTGAATTGTGTTAGAACAGGATTAATTTTAAATACTCGATTTTTCTCTTCATTTAGGAAAATCACAAATTAAGAAATTGCAACCATGTAGTCCTTAACTAGTTAATGCTATTCTGTGATAAAAATCATTCACAGTACGTTTCACTGAACAGTCTTCAATCCTTTTCGACTTTTTTACGTCACTTTAATTGTGGTAATTAGATTGTCCGACTTCCTGATGTAATGAAATTTTACTTATTTAGAAACTGTCTACAACGAGTACTTGGTCCAGTAGTAATTAGCGGGATATGTAACAATCAGTAGTTGTATAGCGTAAGTAGCACTCTGGAATAAGATCAACACGTGATAGCTAGGCTACACTAATAACCGGAAACTACAAAACACTATTGTCACACTCGCAAGTCAAACCATGACAGTATGAGTAACTATAGAGTAATCTCGCTGTCTGTAACATTACCCTTTGGTTCGGTCTTCGATGTGGAATGTAGTGAATTGATGAGTTTGGTTCAGGCAAATGGCAGATAATGTATATGTTCTAACTCTTTGTTGAAGACCCAACCCCCTAGCAGCCCATGCCGACGTAAATCACCTTATTTGCAAAAGAAGTATCACCTCCATCTTTCCTAGTGATTATGAGAGTAAGTTGGCATATTGGTCAAATGAAATTACTTTAGGTTAATCCTCCATAATTTAACTGTGGTTGAATAAATTTGTGCTACATGACAGAAGTTTGAAGTAGCTCAGTCAAAAGTGTCATGATTATTCTTTATTAATTTTTTGTAAACTTAACCTATTCTGGCGGTGCTGATATTATTGGTGTTGTAATTTTATTGCCCGTTATCAAGTCGGATATTTGCTTCTAGGATAATAAAAACCGTTATAATCGTACTTATGTTTTGTCTAGCATCTTCAGTCGAGGCTAAGTTTTACTCAGTCTTATGAATTCCAGTCAAGTTAGTTCAGTCGCAACCACCAACATGTAGTTAGTTTGTCAGTTCTTGAACGTATTACTTCAAAGTTCTGTCAAGCAGCATGGTTCTATTCAGTCATAGTTCATAGTTATGTAACTGTTCAACTCATCAATTCTTCTGTTCCTTTTGAAGAAAACAGTTTCGTTAACACTATGATGTTCCCTTCTGATTGTTCCATTTATTCGTTTCGTATTCTTTTATATTGTTTTCTTACTATCAAAATTACAGTAGCCCACTGCTTCCTTCTGCTATGTCAAGTTACTACTTTAAATGTAGCATTCAATTCACAAAATAAATCATTGATCACTGTGTTTATTTCTAACAATGTGAGTTCCCAATATACTTTGCTGTTCTATTCTATTTAGATCATAGTTAAAATGGAAAGCTTATATATATCATGTTTGTAGTTTGTTTCATTGTTTAATATATGAGTCATCGTGGTGATGTTAGGTCACATTATTGTACTTTAGCAAATTCAATTCTTCCGAGTTTTTGGATTTGCAAAAAACAATCAACTTTAAAGTTGGAAATGCTAATTTTCTTTTTCTGTCGTTTCTCTTGCTTTTTTGATGCATAATATATCTCAATTAACTTTGATACATTATAATATGGGTATTTGAAAACCAGCGGTTACGGTAAATTCCAATATTTCCTCGCTATTAACTGCTTTCGAGGTGAATCTCCCTAAGTTATAGTGAAGATATTTTGATTTTTGTATTTCAACTTTCTCAGAAGTGAGACTATTATCATTAATATAATTAGATAATCATTTTAAGATTGATTTAATGTAGATTTGTATGCCAAAACGTTAGAGTAGTTCTAAGTTAATGCGAAGTAACTGTTTAGTGCTTCTTTTTTATAGTTCTTCAGTTTACATTGATTGGTGACAAACAGCTATCTTTAAACTAATTGATACTTTTTTCTGATGAGAGGTTTGCGGAGATTGTTCATTTCAAAAGTAGTATCTGTCACAGTCCAAGTTCATTTGGAGAACCAATGGAAACTAGAGAGCACTGAACAACTTTTTTAAATCGCTGTTTGAAAGTCTTCAAAAGATCGAAAACATGATATCCAGACCTCTATCGAGTACAGCACTTTTGAACCATTGAGCGAGTAACCAACGATCCACATTTATTTCCATAGGGTATTTATTTTTACAGAAAGGATTATGCATAAAATACTTTCCAGAGGGACTACAATGTTGATTGACTTAGTTAAATAGAAAAGTATTGGGAAAGTTTTACTCAATCACTGTTGACCACACTTATTTTGTTGTGAGAAAGAGATTAGTACTAAAAGATGACTAGGTGAAAGAAGCCTTAACATATAAATCTTGACTCGTCCTTCAACTTTAAAGGTTTGTGGCTATGATAGTATTTAATAACTAAATCTTGTTGGTTTTCCTTTTATTTCGCATCATCTCCTTTTATAATATATAAATTTTGATGTTTTTTATTTGAATAGTTTGTTGAATTAAAAGGTAATGTATTTCGTAAAATGGGAAAAACAAATTTATTTCAAATTGCTTGTGCTGATGTACGTGAACGATTTCACTATTGTATTTGGTTTTCAATTATCGTATGCCGTAATATGAATGAAAGTGGATGGAATTTAGGTAAAAACAAAATAAACCATACGATTAGTATTATTTATGTGTTATGTATTCATGAATTATGAAAAGTTATTTTTCAAGTTCATTTGTAAAGCAAATGATAATTATACTTTAATTTCAGTTATTCGAACACGAGAATTGGTAAGTTATGTAATATATGTAGGTCATAACTTTATTATACATCATGGACTATTTTTATAACATTACATAATGTGATGTTGTCAGTCTGAAGTGTAAATCGACAAGAAAACAGAATGTATAGTGTTTTTTTCGATAGTGTACTAGATTTCCAGAGAATAAAACGGTTCATTCTTTTCGAGTAGCCAAGATCAATGTTGTGTCACTTAGTTTATTGCATAAGCACACTAAATTGAACCGTAAAAACTTCATTTTATAGAATTTATTATAGATTTAGTTTATCCCCTTCAATGTATAACACATTTAGGCAGTGCATATTCACATTTAGAAAGAACTAATAATTTCACATAAATCCAATGTTTTCATCAACATACGTCATTAAAAGTTGTCCTGGTCTTGCGATCTTGACGGCATCCACTAAAACGTTTGACCCCTATGAAGTAAATTATTTTCAGTGTTTCATATCGGCAAGTAGCCTTCAACATATCATGAGTTTCTTGTTATTTCAGTTAGCACATTTATTGACCATAGTACTAGTATACTAACATTAAAGATCTCCAAAAATACTGAGTTTTACTATGCTGTTGTCTTAGCAGTAAGAAGCCTATTCATATTCACTAATTTCTATTCGTGTTCAGTTTTCGCCATTGTAATTGAAAAAGAAAAACAATTTCGTGAAATAATTTGATGGTGTTGTGTATAAATTCTTTTATTCAGTATCCAATTGGTTAATAATTGATTATGCTAAACCTCAATATGCACACATACATAAAAAAGATACTCTTAAAAATTATCTGTCAATCAATCAGTCGGTCAGCTACAACGTAGAACCAGACACATATGCGTCGGTCCAAGTTGCTATACCTCATTAACACGACAAGATAAACACCAAATTCGTAGAAGTATTACTTCAATGGTAGTAATATATTTGAAAAAAGATTCCATATAAGAATATGATACAAGGAGAAATAATTAGTTCGTTGAAAGAAAGATATAAAGCAATTTTAATCTCACAGTTTAAGAGAAGACAAAGGGTATAACACCTACGCTATTGTAATCAATTCTGAGACATGTCCCTCAACGTGTCTTCAACCATTTGTTAAGATAGTCAAACAGATCCCAACCGTGTAGTCTACATCTACCAACATGGCTCAGACCAATAATTAGTGATTTTATGGGCTGATGCCACATTATCTGAGATAAACAGAAAGCATAAAATGCTAGTGTTAATTATAAAACTAGTTCTCCTTATCGTTTATTATTATTATTATTGTTATTTTACAGTGATTACTTTGTTGTATGAATTACATAGTTTGATTAATAAGTTTCTATTGTTTAATGATGAGAGTAATTATTTTCGTTTTCATCTTAAATAATCGATTTTGTTTCAAGGGTGTTTATTAAAATAACTAATTTTATATATGTATATATATATAGTTATGATGATATTTATTGATTTAAATAAATAGACAAATCTACTAATATTATATTGTTAATGTTTATAAACTGACTAAAGAAAGATTGATTAATGAACTCATTTAATGATTAAATGTAATATAAAACTATCTGAAGTAAATCAATAAGTATTTCTTCGAATTGATGAATATAAATATATATATTTAATGAGTTAATAATTATCATTATGTTGAATGATGTTTTAGTAATAAAAAATTTATTTCCTAGGGTATAGTTTCGAATTATAGTGTATCTATTTCACATAATTGCATACATTTAATGTATAGATTATTAGATTGGATAGAGATAGGATTTAATGAAATAGGCATTTAGCTCACAATTGTCAAGTTGTCTATTGGAATGTACTCTATTTATTATTATTTATTTTAACACATAGGTATTGGTACAAGGAGGCACCAAATACATATGCGTCACACAGATCTCATTTGATTTGTGTGAGGGCTGTGATACTGCCCAGGTACCCAAACCGAAGCAGGTGGTTTTCTTACTCTATATTATTTAGTTTAGAAAGATCAGATTTACTGATAGTTAGATAAACCTTAATTATCATTATTATTGTAATCATGGGGCCTATTGCTAAAGTAGGACTTATGGTCTCGTGTATCCTGGTATCTAACCTAAAATAAACCTTTACTTGGTAGAGTTTCGTTTTCTGAGCTGGATTGTTTAACCGTAGAGCTTTCATTGTTTTTCTTAACAACACCAGCACAAAATTCAGGTAGAAGTAAGATATTCTAATTACCCCACAAGTAACTGACAGTTTGTCCTGTCGATCTTGATTGACTACTGTTGACCTTATGCCTGTTGTTGTTTACGTATTTACTTCGATTTCTCCCCTTCCGACGTGATTATTGATCTTATATTTGTCTATGATCTCCGTAATTGGTTAACAAATTGGGTCGGCTTTATGTCTCATCAAAATCATGAAACGATCAGCACTAGACTCCCATTCCGTCCCAGTATGGGACCCCCCAGAAATGTACATCCACGACTCCGAATGCGGGGAACAAACCCAGGGCCTTCGGTTTCGCGCACTAAATGTTTACCTCTAGACCACTGAATTGACTTCCAACGATCTTTAACCGATCATCATATTGCACAGCCATCTCCCATTGTCTCCGTTGGGTAACTTCCATACACACGACACAGGTGAAGTCCATTAGTCACTGATTTTCATCAGTTGCTTTTCCAAAGAAATTGATGAGTATACTCAGAATTTTTTCTAATTTAGTCAAGGTTCTTGTTGAATTTAGCTTAGATTATTGTTTCACTCACTTGTTGTACTTCACGTAATTTAATTAATATATCGATGAAATATTCTTTTTTCTCTGTCCCAACTACAATCCAATCTTGTTCTAGTGATGGGATCCTTTGTAGTACAGACACATACAATGAAGTTAATATTATTATTATTTCGGACTAATTCATATTCTCAAGTTGTAGTGGATGGATTGTTTTTATTGAGACACTGAGTAAGACTTTATTCTATTCCATTTTTTCTAAACAGATGATCTTCAAACAATTCTCGTTGATGTAACCTATATTCTTCTGTCAGAAGTAGCTGTGGATTGGGTAAAGCATTCGTTCATTACCAAATTTAATGTGATCCCTTCAAATGTGAGTTTTATTCTTTTAAATATTTTATCATAACGAAATTAGTTGAATTTTCAGATGCAATATGCTAGTTAATTAATAAAATCAGCTTAACTATACGGTATACTTAATGTAAGATAATTTTGATTTCCTTTCCGATTGGTATGGTGCTTATACTTATGACTTCGGAAACAAAACAGTGCATATTTTGCTTTATACATACTAATAAAGCTGCTTCATTTAAACTATGTAGCCAGTTCATTTGTCCATTCTATTATAACTCAACTTCATTCGATTCGTAAAGAAAGGACTTCAGCTGTTCATATGATAAAGTGCAGTTAGTTACATACCGATCATATTCTCACAATAGTTTAGAATAATATCTGTTATATGAATTGAAACCAAAACTAGTTTGGCAGTTGGTGCTCTTAATTGACTCGGTAGAGAAACAAACAATATCTTCTAAATTCAGTTCTTTAGTAACTCGGATTTCCTTTCAACTCGAGCCACTTTGTACGCTAAATCCGGTTTGTCTACTGAAGCTCTCCAAAATATGATTACATCGAGCTGACGAGTTCCGAATAGGACCAAATGCGCATCCTGAATTCCACTCTTAGTCTCTGCTTAAATTGGCACGTAATGTTGGCAAGACGTTTATTTTAACTTAGTCGAATTAGAAGTCAAATGTTATGTATATTCATCAGCTTTCCTTAGGAAACAAACTCCACCGATACATTTCTGGACTTTCGATTTTACTCTTATGAAATTCGTCATCATATCGACTGGGAACTATATTAAGTTTTTCTTGAAACAAACTTACTAGTTATCAGTTGTTAATTGTCAGTGTTATTGTCGTTTTTATGATAGGTCTATGAGGAATATACTGTGAGCATTGCTTACGACCTATTATTATGCCATCAGGGAAAGGTTAGTAACGATTTTCTTTTCATGAAGCTTAAATATCTTTTTAGATTGCTTCGGTACTGATAACATGTCTGAATATTTTGAATTGTTTGAAAATATTGTAAACGTGTTTTTTCTCTCTATGGTAAATCATGCTCACCAAGTTTATTTGGCAAGCTAACACTCAAAAAATGATAGACCTACAAGACTAAACTGTTTATTTTTTAGTGACTGAATGACTATCAAAGGTATTCTTGTTATAACTAGCTAATGCTCACATGTCGTATCTAGGTTAGTTTTTAAAACTGTGACTTCCATTAATTTCTCGCCATTGGAAATCCACTATTTCAGTGGGTAACGATTTGGAATAATCGATTTAGGAGATTGTTCACGACCATTTGTGTACCATGTGTAAGCCACTTCATAAAAAAAATTAAAACTAACCTGTCTAGTTTACTCACGAATTCATCAGTTTTATTATTCATAATGAAATCCACACCTGTTAAATGGTAACTAGCAAGCTAACAAGTTTATAAATCGAGTTATCCGTACTAGATAAAAAGATCAAATTAATCCATGACACTACAATCGTTCATGGACTATGATTGTGTTTTGCGCATGTCTAGCCATCATCTTATTTATTTATTTATTTGAACACATAAATATTGGTACAGAAGGGGGCACCAAATATATATGCGCCACACAAAACAATCAGAATTTAAGAAGGGAAAAAATAAAAAACGTAGGGAATTATAAAAAAGAGAGAGAGAACAATAATGGGGGAAACGGAAAGGTAGAATCAGAAGAAATCTTTCAGTTAAGGAAGAAGCAACCACTTTTTATGAAGAAAGTAAAAGAAAGATACAGCAGAATCGCCACTGGCTTCTATTCTGAGCCATATCTGATAACGTCTCTAGCCACTGTGTTACACCATCTCTCGGACCCCAGCCAGGGAGTCATGAAGGACCAACAGAAGCCAGCCCTTAGCAGCTTTCTTTCATACCACGACACCATGTCATATACTGACCACCTCTCCGCTTTTTCCAACCAGTCCCAGAGTCGACAAATAATGTACGACGTGGAATTCTCTGGGACGACATTCGTAGAACATGTCCAAGCCACCGAAGTCGGTGTTTCAAGATGGTGACACAAATTGCATTATCGTCTCTGTGTCCGAACACACGATGCCGAACCTCTGCATTACTAACATGGTGTAGCCACTGGATGTCAGCAATCCTTCGGAGACAACGATGATCGAACACAAAGAGTGGTCTAACACCCTCAACTCGGAGAGGCCAGGTTTCACAAGCATAGAGCAAAACTGCTCTCACCGACGCGTTGTAGATCCGACCTTTTACAGCCAGATTAACATCACGAAGGCGCCAAAGGTGTCCCAGATTGGCATAAGCCGCTCTGGCTTTCACTATACGTGCATTGATCTCATCACTCACGCCACCACCAGCACTTATGCAGCTACCTAGATACACGAACTTCTAGACTACTTCTACCTGCCCACCATCCAGAGTGAGTACAGGATTAGAATCCTGCCAGTCTTGTAGAAATACTTTGCACTTCGAGGGTGCAAAACACATACCATACCTACGGACACTGATTGTCAACTGATTAAGTGCGGATTGCATGGCTTGGCCATTCTCGCACAGTAAGACAATATCATCCGCATACTCAAGGTCGAGAAGTCTTTCTCCAGGCAACAGATCCACACCACCATTACTTACATCCATCAGAGCTGTTTCCAGAATGTCATCGATGGCAAAGTTGAAGAGGAATGGTGAGATTGGGCAACCCTGCCTAACCCCACTGCTCGAATGGAATAATGGAGAAAGGTGGTTGTATGCCCTCACTCTGCCTGAGGTGTTTGTGTATAGGGCTTCTAGGATGTTAATAAACTTCTCAGGCACACCCTTTTTCATCAACTGAGATGGTTGGGCCACGTGCTGCGTATGCCTGAACACCGATTACCACGACGCGCAATGCTAACCGGTATTAGGGATGATTGGGAGAAAGTTAGGGGCGGCCAAACCAAAACGTGGCATCAGTGCCTGAAGTCACTAACTTCTGGTCTGAGCCATGTTGGGAGATTCAGACTACCTGGTTGGGGTCCGCGTGACTATCGTAACCAATGGTTGGAGACTCTTGGTGACATGGCTCAGAATCGATCACAATGGCGTCGGTGTATACACTCTCTATCTTCCTTTAAACTAAGAGATTAAAATCGCTTCATATCTTTCTTTCTAGGAACACATTCTTTCTTCCTGTGCTATCTCTTTATATGCAGTCTTGGTTCTATATATTACCACTACTGAATTAACTACTTCTATGAATCCGGTGTTCATCTTGTTGTGCTAATGCGGTATGGCAACTTAGACCGATGCATATACGTGCCTGGTCCTACGTTGCAGCTGACTGACTGACTGAGACAATCCCAGAGAACAGTCCTGTCCAATGAATCGAAGGCAGCCCTGACATCAAGAAACACTACGATTGTTGGCCTTTGATAAGTATGGCGGTGTTCTAACATTTGGCGGAGGGTGAAGATATGATCAATACATCCTCGACCAGAACGAAACCCAGCCTGCTCCTTGCGAGTCAATCTTTCTAGGGTTTTGAACAACCTACGAAGTATAACGGAAGCCAATAGCTTGGACGCAGTCGAGAGTAGACTTATCCCCCAATAGTTGTTACAGGAACGACGTGAACCCTTTTTAAAGATAGGGACAACTATCGACCCATTCCATGACGTTGGTACACTCTCTAGTTTACAGACCTTTGCAAACAACGTCGTCAGTTCCTTAGCCAGAAAGTCACCACCATCTTTAAAAATAGCCGGAGGTATGTCGTCTGGGCCTGGTGATTTGTAACGTTTCAAGAGTTGGAGTTCCTTGCGGACTTCCGCCTCATTTGGTGGATCAGTCGTCACCGGCCATGGAGGGCAGGACAGTCTGACCGACGTTGCCGGAGCAACAGGTCAGTTGAACTGCCCTTCGAAAAATTCTGCCCATCGTCCAAGACGTCGATGGATGTTAGTGCTTGGCGTTCCGTCATCCTCACACCAGACTTCTTGCTGCCAGTGGCTCGGATGAGTTGGAAGAGCTTCCGGTAGTTATCAGATGCATCTGCTGCTTCCAGCTCATTAGCATGCTCCGACTACCAGGCTTCTCGGTCCTTACACAAGCTTTTCCCAATTTCAGTACGTAACAGCCTTCGTCTGTGGTCAAACTCACGGTCACCCGGAGTAGACCGACAGGCTTCAATGAGTTGAAAGGAGCCTGAAGAAACCCGGTAGTTATGAGCGGGACGTTTCATGAAGCCACAAGCGGCTTTACTCACCATTTTCATGGTGTCATGCAATCGCAACCAATGCTCATCTATACTTTTCGGTGGGATGGTAGCTAGCCTAGAAGCTAGCTCGGTTCGATACTTGCTAGCAACAGAAGTTGCAACCAGCTTGCTAATATCAATCCTTTGGTGGCGGTCACTTTGTTGTCCACTGAAAAGTAAGGTAAGATTGGCGCAGACCAGGGCAAGATCAGATTCCAGATAGGTACTCCAAAACGAGCGGCAGTTTTGTGCACAACCACGCCAGCGGTAGCTGATCGGGATGTGATCAATCTGAGTCCAGGCTTGAGATGCAGAGGGAGGACGCCAGGTGGCACATCGGCGATGAATGTGCCGGAAGTTAGTGCTAGCCAGAAACAGGTAGTGGTCTGTGCATAGCTGCAGTAGACGGTCCCCGTTATCTGTCCTGCGACCAACAAGTCTCCATCGGCCACCTAAACGACTTTCTTCTGTGCCTAGGCGCCCGACCTGAGCATTCAAGTCTCCAGCTAGTACTACAATATCTGTCGAACGCACTTTCTGGAGAAGAACAGTTAACTGGCGGGAAGATTCATTCTTGATTGCATCCGGGCTGCAATCTGTCGGGCATAGGCGGAGATGACGAAAAGACATCGTTTCTCACTCCGATTTCTTCTCACTTTGATGGGGCTTTCTAATCTGACAGCACATAACCGACTGTTAATGGGGATCCAATCGATTAGTGCTGCCTCAGCTCTAGCGCTTAGTGCTACACCAACGCCAGCAAGACCAGACGAAGGTGCGACAGGGTCCCCGGATAAACTCACGCAAAACAAGCTTTTTGAAACGACAGGTGGAGAGCGAATTTGTAGTACTTCACCAGAGTCTTGAATGCGGGTCTCGGATAGACAACAAACGTCGATATTAAGACTTTCCAAAGACATAGCCAGCCCTATCTGTTGTCCGACCTGCATAAGTGTGCGAACGTTAAAGGCAGCCAGTTTGAATGGTGTACGTGGTTTCAGAAAGACTGCTTCAGTACTCTTATTCGATGGTAGCATACAATTTTCAACCAGGCAGTGACTTGAGAACGTTTAGTAGAGCCGAATGTCCACCATAGGCGAGCTGCTGTATAAGTCGAAAAATAAGGTTAGACAGAGTAGGGATAAAAGAGGGTGAATAAATGACGTGGTAAATAATAATAATATTAATTGTTTGACGATAAATCGCAGCGTGAACAGAGTTTTCAGTGAATATCATCACTTTCATTATATTTGTGTGTGGGTTGTGATACTGTCCGGGTGCCCAATCCGAAGCAGGTGGTTTTCTTAGAAGGCCACACCCCGAGCCTTCGACCTAAAGGTCTAACCCACAAGGCAGTGGAGCATCGTGAGGAGATGCAGTCCCATGGAAGCCGGTGACCAAGAAATCGGTTCATACGCCATTTGTTCCCTCAGGATACTGGAGCCCATGTGCACCATTGATTTTGGATCCGGTTATAGCGCCGGACGTTCGCTTTTCGTCCTCTCATTTTCGTAAATAACACCCCCGCCACGAGAAGGCAGTGAGTAGGACTTCCCTGGCAGATGCTATACACGCATGGCCATGTGAGAGTATTTCGAAAGGGAGGGCGAACCCACCCCACTTTCGGCCATACCAGAGCATTTGGGGGCAGTGGAGATGGTTACTTCGCCATATACCCAATTCATAACCATCATCTACCTTTATGTGAATTGCTGATCGGAGAAAGATAAAGCTGGGTGTCATGAAACATGGCAACAGTTACACAGTCATTGAACTCTGGTTTGAGCCATGACGGTAGTTAGAATCAGTGAATAGAAAGCATTGAGTGACATGATGCGACTTTGATTGTAGTGACACAAATACATTCACTTTCTGTTTTCCCACAAATCTTGGTCTTTTTTGTGGTAACTTTTGAAGCTTGGCGTTAAGTCTTACTATTTCTATGACTGATCCAAAATATAATCAGTTTGTGGATGTAGTTGATATTGTAGTGTCCGTTCAACTAGCTCATATAGCAAAATGAACTGGTCAGTTTAGCCCTAAATATCTACAACAGGAAAATGCTAACCTCCAGCTTAGTTTTTAATTCGCGTGGGAGATTAGATGGAAAACGTAAATAACGGGAGCCCTATAGTTTAAGCGTATATATATTCAAGGACTTTATTTGGCATATTCCTGAATTATGCATAGCTATATATTGTTCTTTATTTTATTACTGAAACGATGCTTTGATATTTTTTTGATATATCATTTATTTTTTAGAATACATCAGATTACTCTGACCTTCTTTCACGTCGTATGGGTCTTACTCCGATCCCCCTTAGTTGTTTAATTAATGCTATGCTCTTTCAAACAATAAGAAATCCCAGCACTATTTGCCTTACTTTACCGTTTGTTGTGTCTATGTAAGTTATTGCTTTGAACTTCTCAGGAATAGGCTTTTTTCAAATGCTAGAAAAAAAAGATGTTTAATATCAAAGGCTATTGATTCCATTTTTTTTTTCTGTTATTTCTTTTATGATTAGCCGCACACATTTTTGTATTATTCCGTAGTGTTTACAACATATGGTTCCCTTTAGTAACTTGAAGTAAGCAAAAACAAAGATTTTAGTAGAATAACACGAATTCATTTTATTGAATTAGGTTCTCGTCGATTGTTTACAATCTATAATGTCTCAAAATCAAAACTGCAGAATGAGATGAAGATATATCAATGAATTTGATTAAAAGTTATTATGGACACACATCAGCATATTACAGCAAAAGTGCGAATAACGTTGAAAATGTATTTCCTATTCATGAGAACATTCTGGAACATTAGAAGTCAAGACCAAAGGTATAGAAAGAAATGGTTGCACAACAAAACAAATGTTAGTGATAAATAGGAAATACTTCAACTTATCAAAAGAAAACACTGCCTTATGTTCTCTGTAGCGTAAATTCCATGTTTTTGTTTAGTTGACCATCTGTTTAGCACATAATAAATGAAAGGTATCATTTATTTCTATTTTTCTTCGAACCAATAATTGCAAGCTCTCAATCTAATGACAGGCCTTTAAAATAAGGAGATATACGCTCATGCGAACAATATGTTTATAATATTTTTCATTGTACAATGCGTTTTTTGTCGTGTTATGACTAATTATAGTGTTCAAATTAACTTTACAAATAAACTCTACGAAAGGGGCCTATGAGGTTCCTATTTGTTCACATCAAAATGTTGATATATATATAATCTTACTATAAGTGTACAAAACATGAAGCTCTTTAGAAGATAATTAAGTCACGATCTTACACAACCACTCATTTGTTAGTTTTATTATGATACCGCTGGTTTACTATACTGATTATACCTATGCTCAGATCATGGTTACATTTCCGAATAACGAAACAAAGTTCACTTGTTAGTTATATTCATAAATTATTGTCGGTACAAAGTGATTCGGAAAAACAAGTTTAGATGATAGTGAGTTTAGTGAAGCTGGTTTCTCTGACCTGGTTTAAATGAATAAACCATTCACTTCAAAAGACGCAACTCCAATAAATTCATCTTCAAGATGATCGGTTTCCCGACAGTTGCTGCTACCTCGACGTATTGGTCGGGCTTGCCTATCGTGACGAACCAATCGAGTTATACTGGCTGGAATAATCGTTCCTCAAGGTCCTACCATACCAAGAAGGTCGTTTAAAGAACGGTAAGACTAAAAGCAGCAAACCCAAGGTCCGAGAGCGAAGTTGTACAACTAACTGTACAGAGGTGTGACGGCAGTAGGGTGTTCCTTCCAGACAACCAGCATAACAGCGATGCTACCTTCCCAAAAAGGAAGGGTGCGGTTAGAAAAGATCGACCCTCAAAATACATACATCACCTTATCCCATGGAATTCCTTCTCCGCCGCTAAGGTCTCAACAAGTACGGAGCCAACCCAAAAAGATCGTGTGACCGTCCTCAAGCAGTTTCCCGTGGGCACTGTGGTCACGCTCTCAGATCACTAAGGCCAACTCTGACTCTTTCTTTCCCAGGTACCTCTAGAAGAACCCTTCCACGGTGTAGGCAACCGGGAAATGATAACCACTCTTATATTTTTAGCAGTACTCAAGACTACCGTATTCAAATCAGTCTCACTGCAATCGGACACTCCTAACACATTATTAAGCATTTCCTTCATACCAACGAAAGAAAGCTTAACTAGGGGATCCATTTCGTTTGAGGTGTGGGGGTCTGTATAATTTTTAGTCAACTTAATAAGTATTGGTTGTCAATGATTTTAAATAGATACTTTATCTTTTTTAGACTATTTGCAGTTAAAGTTGCAACTAACCTTACCCTTATGTCCATGGCTTATTCTCATGTACGTGAGTACATAAATGCAGCAAGTACTATTCAACTGGATGAAAATTGTTCCTTCAACAATGATAAAACTGCTGGTGTTTTCACAACTACAGAAAAAGTGAATATGAAACAGTCTCAACATATTCTTTCAGAAAAGGAAATTCGGACATCATCAAGAAAGCCTCCTTTTGGTTTCACAGGTTATGACCAACCAACTAAAGATGAAGATTGCTTTTTGCCGACGGGTCTTAGGTATCGGAAATTCAAAAGCGACTCAGGTCCCGTAGATATAACAGTCAATATGAACATAAACCACTCACTAACTTCTGAAGATACATCAGAACTCACTGGAAACAAGCTTAGAGTGTTAAGTCCTATTTCTACGGGTAGCATTTGGAATGAATTGATTGAACCATATCAATCAATTATGGCTTCTGCAACTGGAACCCCAAAGAGTCCATATGAACTTAATGAATCAGCTCCATTAAGTAAGTGATTTCCCAATTGACTGCTAGTTAAGTTACATGACAGTCGCACAACCTGCTCTTTTTCGACTAATATTTCGTCTTTCTATTTCATTTTAGCACCTCTTAGTCGAATAGGGTCAGCAAATCGGATATTCAATTCTGGGAATAATAAGTCAGAAATCGAGTGCGAACGTGGTTTCCATGGTTCATGTGTGTTCCAGACTGAAGACAAACCTCAGTTTACTGCTTACACAAATACTCCAATTGCTACATTACATCATGAGGGATTACATGTACGCAACAGGTATGAGATGACTAGTATCTTAGAATTATATAGCAATAAAGACGAGTCATTTACAACAATGGTACGACCCCCTAGTGCTTGTGTTTTATTAAGACCAAGGTATTACAGTATCGATCTAGGTATCCTGAGTACTTTTTTGAAGTCTATGGAATGCAATGTACGTGCTACAGATGAAACACCAATTAAAGACGGAAATGCTCAGGAAAATGAATCAAAGCCTGCTTATACTTTCAATCCTATACACAAACGTCGGATACGTACAATGACTGAAAGTTCAGGTACTGCCCCTTCACATCCTCCAAGGGATCCTACAATACCAATTCTATGGGAACGAAGCAGTAGAAATAGTACAGCCAACCAGTTCGGTTTGGATCGACTGAAACCAATAACACCTGGACGAGTAAAGCAGCCATTGTCTGATATAGATCGTTATTCAATGGTAGAAGGACAAATTAGTTGACTCAATTTGTGTAATTTGATGACTGTACATTTCTTGTATGTATATTCTAAAATAACAAAATGTTTTAATCGCAGTCTTTTAGAGACCCTAAATCTGATGTAACAACCACTATAAAATAGTGGAACATGGTGATTACGAAAAAAACTGGTTGGTAGTGCTAACTACATCCTATTCATTCACTCAAGAACTTAATAAATCTAAGTTAAAATGTATTAGTTGTGTTCAATCTCTCAACTTAACCAATCAAATACTCGACCTAAAATCATACTTTTAGAATATACTGTCGAACAGAATGATATTTGTAATTAGAATGTGGTATAGAAGTATACATCTCAAGTTCTCCCTAATATAAGTTAGTGTCATTTTAACCACTGAATTTACATTCATCACGGATACGTCTTCCCACTACGGCGAAACACTTCGAGGTTTAGCTTTTTTGATTACTAAATACGATTGTTTTCCCTTTTCTTTAGTTCCCAGTTAATTTAAAGGTCAAATCCTAATCACACAGGACTAACATAAAGAGAAGAACACATTAATAAGGTAAAACATCTTTAATTGCAGCAAAACCGAAGAGCGTGTGAAATGAATAGGTTTGGCAGAAAATGGGATTTCAGAGCCGGGGAAACTAAAGAAAAGTAATAATGCAAGTAGATTACATTACCCATCACCCTTCGAGAAAGGTATTTAGCTACTATGCAGACAAATTTAAGGTTAAGTATAAAAGGGAGTAGTTTTTTCTGTCAAATACAAAATGTTGACGATTGTTTAGAGATATAATTGAAGATGTTCAGTAGTCAGTCATATGTAGAACTACGCGATATACATGAGTTACTAACACGAACGACACTTGTTTCACACTTCTGGACACTTGAAATGGTCACGGAAGTTTTGAATTTGTTCGGATAGTTCCCAGTTCATTAAAGTCATCAAGGAGCTCTCCAAATGGTAATTGATTTCCTGACGTTGATGCTTTTTCGTTTGTGCTTGACTAGAGAAACAAAATATATTATTTTTAAAAAGGAAAATGGAATTTTTAGTGGATTTTGGTAAGCTAGCATATCACAACACGTGTTGCTTCTTTCATCATCATATTCTCTTCGCTACATATGATATATATAGAAACTGTTGATAGATAACAGTTTAAGGCATTGAAACATTGAACTGAATGCTAAAAGTGCATGAGCCTAGTGTTTGTTTCGCTATTCGTCTCGACTAATCTTAGAGATGGAGAGATACTTTTACATCAATTTCTGTGACTCTGAGCAGCGTATCGGCAAGTTATGATAATTCAAGACGCTTATAGTACTAAACATTTGTGTTTAAAATGTACTAGAAACAAAACCCCAACTAATAAAAACATTTCCCATATCTGATTGCATTGCCAGAAGTGGGAACAAATTACTCGAACTATCAGACTCGTTGGATATACAGCCTTTTATTCATAGTTCTCGACTACAAACTATGTAACAACGACAGGTTGAACTTACTTTATTCTTTCGGTTCAGAAACTCCGTTTCAAAAAATACTTTGCTTTGGTTACTTTCAGAGTAATTTATCAAACAGAGGAAGTTTGTTAGTGATAGAATCAATACATCCATCCACGACTTTGTAAAATACATAAAAAACTCGGGATGCATTTTTGGATCCGCTGTGTAAGGCAAAGCTGTGTGCAGATTAATTAACGTCATAATAAAACATTACCACACCAACTTTGCCATTCCTCTTTTCCAAAGGAAAACTGCGAAGAAAGTAGTTCGAAAAACTCAGTCATTTTAGCCTGACGTTTCTTTATTTTAGCCTGTACTAAGTATGTACGAAAAACATGCACTTTGAGCTCATTGGCCGCAAGTTGTTTATCAGCCGATAACCGGTGAAATAGTGTATTTTCTAAAAAATTCCACTGATTGGTTAACTGAGTTAAATTAGAATCGTAGATCGCCTCTTGAAGTTGATCGATAATATCCAATGGCTGAAACTGAATACGCCATTATTAACCAAAGCGAATTACTTTCCCTTTACTTTTCTCTTTCGAATACTCAATTTCAAATGCATTCAGTGTATCTTTGAAATTCTTTGATAATAAGTAGCGTCGAACAAGACGCTCACAAACACCATCTTGCATCCTTACTCTGCTAAAGGAACCAAAGTACTACATTAATGCGACTATTACATTATTAATAAAATGAGATAATTAACGTAGAAGATGAGAAAGTTACAAGCCACTAGTATTCCGAATATCTTAACAACAATATCATAACAACCGTAGGACGTGGTGACAATATTACTTCACTTCTGATTTGCGCATGTCGCTTAGTAAAATGGCATCAGTAAATTAGATTATTCTAAGTGTACTGTTTGAAGAATAACTGAGCGGATTGTATCCTAATAATATTTACTAACTATTACATTGAGGTTAGATAACGGTATTATTAATCTTAGTACATTTTACAAGTGTTCCAGAAAACCAACGCGACAGCAGTTTGTTGTTGCTAAAGTGGCCTGGAGTATGTGAATGATATTGTATTGATGTGTGATGATAATCGAGACACGAAAATCACAATTAATTTGGAATTGGTGTTCATAAGCATGTTATATGTACTTTTTAAATCCAACTAGCCGGAACCCATACCTGCCCTCACTTTTGTTAGTGAAACGTTAACAATCGGAAAGTTTGTTTATATAGGTGGCTGTGAATGCTGGCGGTGCTGTTAGATGAAATCAATCTACGTGTAGTGGACAGAGCGGCTTTCGTCACTCTGGTGCTGTCGTGATGTTAGTTTAGCTGTAAAAACCTAGGTCTACAACCCGTTGGTGAGAGCAGTTCTACTCTGTGCTTGCGATATCCGACCTTTTGGACTTTAGGATGTTAGGTGATTCTCTGTTTGATCACTGTTATTCCAGGAGGGTTGTTGACATTTAGCAGCAACATCATGTTAATAATGAGGAGATTCCGGAATGCGTTCATCATGAGGAACCGGATGCGGAGGCCTAAAAACAAGTAGGAATGTCATCCCAGAGAATTCCACTCCGTCCGTTACTTAACAACGCTACAATTGGGTGGAAAGGTGGCCACTCTATAATATGGTACCATGGTATGAAAGGATGTAAAGAACTGGGATCTATCTGTCAATCACAACTCCCTAGTTAGTGTTCCAGAGATAGTGCAACTTGGTGGCTTGAGATATCAGACTACCCAGGACAGAAGCCAATAGCTCTCTCGCTGTAATTTTTTAGTACATTCTTAATAAAAGCGCAAGGAAATCCTTCGGCTGGAAGAATCATTTCGGGACTCTCGCATTATAATTTACACTCGTCCACTTACTTGTTCATTTTGATTACACTCTGCCTCCATGCATGTCTTCACAATATTAGTACTTTGTGGCGCATACTTATTTTATAGTCCAGTTATATCGGTATTTGTTTTAATTAGATACTTAAGATAGTAGGATGCATATGAGCTTCATAATCTAACCAGAGAAACACCATTTAAATTGTAAAAATGATATTTTTGCCTGTTCAGCGATTTAAACGATTTCAATCTACTCTACGTTATGTAACGTACAAACTATAACCACTTATCATTGACCGATACCAGTTGGTACGAATCAGTCGATTAAAAAGGTATGGTGTTAGCTCAAAGCGGCATTCGAAGTAACAGCTTCTATCCCATGGTCAAATTAATGTAAGCCATCCCAAGGGCCTCCATAGAACCATGAGATATGAACGACAGTAAAGCGCGAGAGATATTTCTAGGACTTGGTTTTCATGACCAGTCATGAAGCATTGAAGTTGTAGTACAAGAAAGTCAGGAATGCATGTAAACTGACCATTATAAAGACTCACGTTGATTACTAAGTGAAGTAAGCATATGATAAACATCTGTTCAAAATAACTTTTCATACCTTAAAAGGAGGAAAAATTTCCTTCACTAGTGTGATGTTAGAACTCATACATATGGTTTTGATGACCTTAAGGTCCAAGAAATCAGAAGGCTGGAATTGTGGGTTTGGGAATTATTTTCAGTAACGGTTCGCATTGGTTACACTCACCATCAACGGTACTCCGAAAGTGGATCACTACTTCCATAAACAAGAAATCTGAAGATTGACAAGTAATTTTACACTAACAGTTTTGAATAGTGCTGTGAGCAAAAGGACTACTGAAGCATGAAGACCGTGTTTGTGGAGATCTTGAGCAGATAGCTGAAAACAAAGATATCTCCCTATCTTATGTTCTTGATACTAGACACAAAATAGAGCGGTTAACGAGTGGATGCTAAATTGATATGTCAATTGAATAAAACTGTCTACTGAATAAAACTCGTAAAGCATTCCCCCTTAGTCTATGGAATAATGAGACATTATTTTGGAATTCCATATTAAGGTAAGGGCGCTTAGTGTAGGCAGGCTTAATCTTTTTGTAGCTTTTTAACAAGACGTTGATAAATGGATTGGAAACTAGTTTCCAACCCATTCGATGATGCATAGTCGAACAAACCTAGAGCGCGACATCGTTTCTTGTGGATGGTTACTGACCAGAACTCCGACTTAAGTAAATGGTGCCAGCCACGTCGATGGACACTGGACAGATAAACATAGATCAGTTGACCTAACATTCTTATTACTGAAGGGTCTGTAAATTCGCATACATTTTAGTCTAACTAACTGGGGAGTGTGGTTGAAACCATAGGGATACGGATATACCTTATAACGAAAACATCGTGTTTAGCGTCGACTACCAACTACTGGACCGTAACGCTGTATTCAAAAATATGCATGAATGGTTCAGATTGTTCTAGACGTAATGAAAGAAGCTTTTGCCAATCAGGCTTCCATATCTAGTAGATGTGAATCAGCGATGCCTCCAGATAAGAATCTGGGTATGTATAACGATAAAAGGAAAATTTTTAGCAAATTATAGTGAAATACTATCCTGAATCCCTAAGAACATGTCACAAATTTTCTTAAAGGGCTCGTGATAATTCGCTTGGACTACCTCAGCTGGTAGATAATTCCATAATTTGGCCACCCTTAGGGATTAGAAGGTGTCCTTACAGCCCGTCCTGCTATGACGTGCCTCCAGCTTCTTGGAGTTACCCCTAGGTTTTGTGTTTGTACCGTGCTTACGTAAGTATTTAAAGGGATGTTCAGAAGTGTTTAGGATGCTGTAAGTCATTAGAAAATCACTCTTAATACGCTTATACTCTAATGGGAAAAGATTTAGTGATTTTAGGTGCTATTCGTAAGGTTTGGAATTAGAGTCACTGGATGGATTTCTTTCAGTGTATTTTTTCCCTTGTCGGGTAAAAGAGAAAACACTATATTTACAAACTCCGAAGGTGAGAGGTTAAAATGGCGAAGATTAAGTGGGGAGTTATACTGTCAGACTGGGCAAAAATGTGCTTCAACTTTACCAGTACAATATTTGCCTTGAAAGTATTTTTGTCTCAGTTAGCGTCTGAATTTAGATCACAGGGTACCAAAACTCCTGGATCTTTTTCAACTTGCTATACCTCTACGAGGAAGTAACCTGAGTTGTTGAATAATCCGGAACATGTCTGAGATGGACTATATTACACAGGTAAGTTCGATGTTGTATGCACAACTTTCAAATCGAGTCAGATCCTCCTGATGTGCCAGCTTATCATCTTGTATATAAACTTCTCTCCGAAGTTTAACATCGTCAGAGATAAGTAATACATTAGATGATACATTCTGAGGAAGGTCATTTATACAAAATAAGTAAAGGAGCGGATGTGATCCAATTTGACTGTATTGCTGAAACAACCTTGAAATCTTCGGTATGTTTACTAATTTAGAATATAGAAAGTGTAGATAATGGATTTGTAATAAAAGGTAACTGAGATTTTCACAAAACATCGTTTTGATCCTATGAAGTTTAATGAACAGTTTTAAGTTTTCTCAATATTTTCCTGGTTTGATCTAAAAAACCTTCAGCAAAGATATCTATCAATATGGTTGGGAGCGATATATATGTCCTTGTTGTAAATCGTTTTATTCTGGTTCAGTTTCTTGTAACTCTATCACTAGTTATCGAATAAATCAATTGCATCAGCAGCAAAAGTCTTTATAAAAAGACATTGGATAATTCCATACAAGGATTTTCTATACAAAAACTAGCAAGGTTAAAATCGATCCGAACAAAAATGATTGCAAGGATGAAATTCAGTACCTTATTCACAAATATGTGAGACGGCTTATTTAAACGTAATTTTTAAATAATTCACTCAATTGCTATGGCACGTATTTTCCACTTCTGAACAGCTGCCACATTAACAGACTCCTACCGTGCCTGTCACGTGCCTTCACAGTTGATACCACTTAGTGTCATCCTGATATATTATTAGTCAGTGAATCGAAGTCTGGGGTGACATCACATCCATGGAGCGCGTTGTTATGTAAACATAGTGTTCCGTAAAGGGAAGTTCCTATGTTCGACGGACATAAGGTGATACTGGCAAAAAATATAACCACTATTTCATTCATCATAGCGTATAATGTATTGTATTGATCGGTCACGAAAGATATGAGGTGAAATTGAAGTGCTAGGACTTACATAATTCACTCACTCATGGGTCAAATGGCTATCCATACAATTGACAGTTCATATTTTGCTGAGTAAGTACTACCTTAGCTTAAGTCTGAAACTGATGAGAGCTGATAAATGTGATTTGTGCTCAGTGAAAATAGGTAAGAAGTAAATCTACTATCATTCGCTTAATAGTCACTTGGAGCTATTCTAATGTAGTGTTATATCTTGAGCTTATATTCTTGAAATACCGCGTATAACTTGAGCACTAGAACGCTAGAACCCTTCCAAGTCGCAATGAGAATACAGGAGACTAGTGAAAGGAATGTTATTCCAGACAGTGTTAATTAAAGTACAAAACCATCAGGTATTTATGGTTTTTAGTAAAAAAAAATCGTCATTACAGTCTTCCAATCCGCATACAGGGGGTTATTAGCATTGTAAACTCGAAAAACTACACGTAGAAATTCTAGAACATCCTTCCAAAAGGTGACTGGATGGAATATCTTCTAACAGCTTCCTCGAGTTTACCGATGGACCGTCCTAACATATAGAAAAATCAGATTCGTGTTATGTTTGTGAGTTTTATAGTGTATAAATGTCTCACAGATTTTTGAGCGCTAATGATCATCCTTTTTAACCGAATCCTGTGCTCATCTCATCAGAATGAGTATATTTTATTCTAGCTGCGTAGCTTGCCTATGTTGGTTTTTGTGTGCGTATATTGCCTTTCCTAAATCTACTGAACACTGAAGCATGTTTATTTCGGCATTACTTATATGACTAAGACATTCATCAAACGTTTTGAAGATGCCACAGGTATTCGGAGTTTGACAACGCCTTAACCAGTAACACCTTCTAATATGAAGCGCACCCACCAAGTAAAATCAAAAGACAGAAGCGAGGAGGTTTGAAGATATATTTGATAAGCTATCAATATATCGAAGATCGTTTGCACTAATCCGGCTAGCGATTGCGGTAGATGTTGAGCAGGCGTTCCCACACGTGATCTGGGTGCAGATGCTTGACCGAGCGCCTTCAGCTAGATGAGTCCACTAAAACTGTGGTCAGCATCCAATGTCGAAAACTTACAGAGCTATTGACTTTGGGGATTTATTTACCACTACATGTCACTCCCTCCCTAGTCGGGTAGTGATGATCCCAAGACGTGGCCAGCCAGAGCCAGTCAGTCAGTCAGCTGCAACGTAGGACCAGGCACGTATATGCATCGGTCTAAGTTGCCATACCGCATTAGCACAACAAGATGAACACCGGATTCATAGAAGTAGTTAATTCAGTAGTGGTAATATATAGAACCAAGACTGCATATAAAGAGATAGCACAGGAAGAAGGAATGTGTTCCTAGAAAGAAAGATATGAAGCGATTTTAATCTCTTAGTTTAAAGGAAGATAGAGAGTGTATATACCGACGCCATTGTGATCGATTCTGAGCCATGTCACCAAGAGTCTCCAACCATTGGTTACGATAGTCACGCGGACCCCAACCAGGTAGTCTGAATCTCCCAACATGGCTCAGACCAGAAGTTAGTGACTTCAAGCACTGATGCCACGTTTTGGTTTGGCCGCCCCTAACTTTCTCCCAACCATCCCTAATACCGGTTAGCATTGCGGGTCGTGGTAATCAGTGTTCACGGATACGTAACACGTGACCTAACAATTTCAGTCGATGAAGAATCACAATCTCATCAAGTGATTTACCATCATTCCCTAAAACCCTGCGTCTAGCCTCACTATACTTACCCGGTGATCGCAGCAGATGCGAGCAATATTTCTAAGGCATCTGTGGTCAAATATAATTAGCTTACGAGTATCTTCTACCCTTCCGTAATGGCTACTTTTCGCAGCCGTAAAGTAGAACAGAATATTTCGCCTTCGCCATAGGTGACGTATGTTGGCAAAAGCCAAACGAGCTTTACGAATCCGTGCCGAGATTTCGTCAGACACCAACCCATTAGGGCTGATCAGACTTCCAAGATAAGCGAAGTTGTCAATGCGTTCGACTACTTCACCCCCTATCCTTAGTTCAGGTGTTGGCGCAGACCAGTCCTGAAGCAACAACTTGCATTTAGAGGGATAGAAGCGCATTCCAAATATTCTGGCATTGTTGCTCAGTGCTATCAAAAGACTCTGCATTTTATCAGCGTCTTCACCAAACAGGACTATATCATCTGAGTATTCTAAGTCAATAAGTGGACCTCCTGGTAGGAGATCAATACCCGAGAAGTCAGTCGATGAGAGCGTTATTTCCATCGGTAGATCTATGATGAAATTAAACAAAAATGGAGAAAGTGGACAGCCTTGGCGGACGCCACTTGAGGTTGCAAAAGCAGATGACAGTTCGCCATAAGATCTGACTCGACTAGTAGTGTTCGAGTAAAGAGCCTCCTCAAAGTTTATGTGCCTCTGAGGTACACTTTTTAATGATAGACACTGCCACAGAATCTTGCGATCTACGGAGTCAAATGCTGCTTTTAGGTCAAGAAAAACCACCATTGTCGGACGCTGATAAGTATGCCTGTGTTCTAGAACCTGGCGAATGGTGAATATGTGGTCTATGTATCCACGACCAGGTCTGAAGCCAGCTTGACTCTCTCGTGTTTGCAGTTCTCTAGTCTTAGTTGGGCGTCCGATAATTATCCATCTGGATCAGCTGCTCTTCCTCGTTTCAGATTAGCTATAGCCTTATGAACTTCAGCTAGAGTTGGGGGACCTACTTCAATGTTCCATTCATACTGTCTGGGAATACAGGGTAGTTGTAGAGTAGCTGAAGGCCAGCTAAACTGTCCCTTAAAGTGTTCCGCTTATCGTTCCAAACGTCTGGACTGGAAGCAGATGAGAGTGTTGTTTTTTTCTGAAATAGTCTGACTTACACTTGACTTATTAATTCCAGTATCTTTTATTAGTCTTTGGAGCTGTCTAATGTTACATATAGCCACTGCCTTTTCCATCTCTTTTGCTTTCGTTGCCCACAACTGCTCAAGATCGTTCCTTAGACTTTTGCTTAACCTAGATCTGATTTGTTTCCTCTCTTCATCGTGTTCAGAACCAGATGTGATGAGTTTACGAGAATCTATCAGTGCAATAGACCTTGAAGAAATCCATTGGTTCTTTGTAACCCTGTGGTTTAAATCACTGGTAGATGTCACTGCTGTTTCAACAGCTGCTTGTATAACTTTCCAAGCAACATCTGGGTCAGCCTCGTTTTCAGAACTACCTAAGTGTGACCTCAGTTGTTCCTGGAACCTACTTTTGGTTTTCCCATTACTCAAATATGTTCCA